TGACCTTGGAGGAGAGAAACGAGAAAGCAGGCTAACAGCTCAGCACAGGCCTGGCGCCCGTCGCCCGCTGATCACAGGCTACGGTTTCAGTGCCAACAGCAACAGTTCACCACCTTGACCTCTTTCTGCACCAGGAGCCGTGTGCTCCAGAGCATCACGCAGCAGCCACACAGGCAGATGCTCCTCAGGCCCCGCCTCCTGCAGTGCAGGCAGGTGGGCCGGCGCTCCCAGGCAGCCCAAGGCCCAATGTGCTGCTCTGGCCTCCGAGGGCGGAGACCTGGGGCACAAGGGCGCACCAGGGACCTGAAGGGCCGAGGCGGCCTCCCGGCTGCGAGGAGCACTGAGGACGGCTCCAGTGGCTGAGAGAGAGGCTGAGGCCCAGCACTGCGGGCACGGCGGCCTGAGTGAGAACCAGGTGTCTGGGAGGACAGGCTGCAGAGGGGACCTGGGAGACAGGGGCGTGAGGCACAGGGAAGGCCTTAGGGACAGGAAGGGGCGGCCGCCAGGGTGAAGCCTCTCCTGCTGGGTGGCAGAGGCCAGAAAGGGTGGCAGGAACAAAAAGGGGGTAGATCCCACATCTGGGACAGTCGCTGGGTGTGGAGACGGGTGGGGGGACCGCAGCTCCAGGTGGTGGCCCCTGAGGACATGCCGCCTGGAGAGGGCTCGGGGCGGGAGAGCAGACAGCCCCTGGGGACCCAGGTGGAGAGTGTTCTGGGGCAGGAGACGTGGGGGCAGCTCAGAGGCAGGAGCAGGCAGGAGGGAGGCCCTGCAGCCAGCCCCTCACACGGTCCATATAACTGCACGGAGTGGGGGAGCCAACAGCCAGGGCTCAGCTTCTAAAAGCAGGAAAACGTTGACGTTCTGGACATGGTAAGCGGGTGCAACCCCCCAGGAGCTGGGGCTGAAAGGCGCCCCCCAACGAAGCCTTTAACAAGAAGTCTGCAGCATCCCAGATGCTCAGAGGCCAGCCCTGGTTCTCAGCCCAGCCTGATGGTTGGAATTACCTAGAAAGCACAGTACCGCTCGCTGCTGTGGGCGTGTCCCAGGCACAGCAGGCTGTCCTGGCCCCCGCCCAAAAGCCTAGGTGTTTGGACTGTGCCTCTCCCATCCGAGAGCCAGGCCGGCCCGAGGCCTTTGCCCGGGAGGCTCCGCTTCTACCTGTTCACCAGGCTCCTCTCTGGGCCTCCTCTGAACACAGGGCCCCTCTGCTTAAACAAATGTTTGAGAGCCGTTATATTCTTTCAACCAACGTTTATTCAGCGCCTTCTGCGTCCCAGGCTCTTACACACTCGCACTACATCCTGAGACACAGGAGAAAGGGGAGCTGGGGGAGATGTGGGCTTAGTGACGCCCCGGGCTCTGAGGCCTGGAGGGCCTGGTCAGGAAGGTCACCGGCTGGGCCAGGGCTGTCTGCCCTGCTGCTGTTCAGACCTCGCCCACCTGAAGGCTAACGGATCCCAATACTCTGCTATGGCCTCCTTAGCCCAGCAGGAGGGCTAAGTGATTGGCTCCGTGGCTGAGGGTGGACCTATGAACCAGGTCAGGGCACAGGCCCGGCTGCGGGCTGATCCCCAGTGGGGGGCGGGCAGGAGGCAGCCAATCCATGATTCTCTCCCATCAGTGATGTTTCTCTCTCTCTCCCTCTCACCACTTCTCTGAAATCAACAAAAATATTTTTATTTTGCCGAAGCCGGTTTGGCTCAGTGGATAGAGCGTTGGCCTGGGGACTGAAGGGTCCCAGGTTCGATTCCAGTCAAGGGCATGTACCTGGGTTGTGGGCACATCCCCAGTGGGAGATGTGCAGGAGGCAGCTGATCGATGTTTCTAGCTCTCTCTCTCCCTTCCTCTCTGTAAAAAAATCAATAAATATATTTTTTTAAAATTTTTTATTTTTATTTATTGTTGCCACTATTACAGATGACCCCTATTTTACTCCCCTTTGCCCACCTCCACCCAGCCCCAGCACCGCCCCCTACCCTCTTTTCTGGCTTTCACCACACTTGTCTGTGTCCATGGGCTATGCATATATGTTCTTTAGCTAATCTCTTCACCTTCTTTTACCCAGTTCTCCCCACTCCCCTCCCCTCTCCCCTCCACTCTGACATCTGTCAGTCTGTTCCATGCATCCATGCCTCTGGTTCTATTTTATTAGTTTATTTTGTTCATTAGATTTCCCATATTAGTGAGACATATGGCACTTGTCTTTCTCTGACTGGTTTATTTCACTTAGCATAATGATCTCCAGGTCCATCCATGCTGTTGCAAAGGGTAAGAGTTCCTTCTTTTTTATAGCTGTGTAGTATTCCATTGCATAAATGCACCACAGCTTTTAGACAATCTAAATAACACTACAATGATCATCTTTATTCAGGAAGTTTTCAATATATTTTGACTTTTTTTTTGAATGACAGATTCCAAGACATGGAATTACTTGATCAAAGAGTATGAATATTTTAAGGCTCTTTTTTCATATTTCAATATTGCTTTCGAAAAAGATCTTACCAATTTTCATAGCAGTTCTACTAGCATGTTTAATTTATCTCAGGCACGGCTTGTCCCTAAAGAATACCCAATCTTGCTCCATGAAGCAAAATGGGGGATGAGTGTGATTCTATGATAGCTATCTCACAAGGATGCCAATTCCTCACAGCAATTACTCTTCCCAATTTGCAGTACAGGTTTCTATGGACATGCACTACAGGGCTACTTCAAGCACTAAGGGGATATGTGCTGTGTTGCCTTTCCAGTGTCCTTCCCTTCCCTCTCCTCTGGTATCTATGCTATCATTCTTTTGAGGGCACCACCTCTTCTTCCATCTCAGCACAGGTGGAGTTAAGTTAGGTTTGACACTATTCCTGATCTAGGGATGGTCTTGTGGCTGCCTACTCCTGGGCGACGGAAGCGCCTGAGGACCTGGACCGCGCGGCCCTCGGATTGGCCGCGAGGACCGTGACGTCATCTGCACTGGCAACGCGATTGCCTGAGCTGGCTCTGGGGCGGGCCGACTGAGGACGGGAGGAGGAGCCTGGTTACGGGGTCCGGTCGGGGACAGAATTTATCTGCTGGGGACGCGTGCGCGCCGAGGGAAACGGCGTCCGTTGCTATGGGCGCCTGCAGAGTTCCGGACTAGGCGGCGGGCGGAGAGGCAGGTGGGGAGGGAGCGGTGGTGGGTCTTTTTTTTTTCTTTTAAATATATTTTTATTTATTTCAGAGCGGAATGGAGAGAGTGAAAGAGATAGAAACATCAGTGATGAGAGAGATCACTGATTGGCTGCCCCCTGTACCCCGGAATCGGACTCAGGACCCTTCTGTCCACAGGCCGATGCTCTATCCACTGAGCCAAACCGGATAGGGCTGGTGGTGGATCTTGTGCGCCAGGACCAGAGAGGCTGTGAGAGGAAGCCTGTGGGAGCCCAGCGGGCCTGGCTCTCTGGTTAAGCGTCCACCCACGCAGGGAGGTAGGGCACGTGCCCAATCGCGGGCTCTGTCCACAGTGGGGGGCATGCAAGAGGCAGCCCATGGGTGATTCATTCTCATGTCGATGTTTCAGCCTCTCTATCCCTCTCCTTCCCTCTCTCTAAAATCAATAAAAACATGTTCTTAAAAAGAGACAGAGATAGCCCAGCTGACGTGGCTCGGTGGTTGAGCATCAACCTAGAAACCAGGAGGTCACGGTTCAGTTCCTGGTCAGGGCACTTGCCGGGTTTGCGGGCGCGATCCCCAGTGTGGGCCATGCAGGAGGCAGCCAATTGATGATTCTCTCTCATCATTGATTTTCCCCTCTCTCTCTCCCTTCCTCTCTGAAATAAAAAAATATTTTTAAAAAAATCTATCTATATACATAAAAGCCTAAGCTACCGGCTGACCGGCCAGTAGCTATGAAGCTATGACACACAATGACCAGCAGGGGGCAGACGCTCCAACCGGTAGCTATGATGTGCACTGAACCAGAGGAGGAAGGTTGATTCCTGGGTACATCACCTGAGAACTGCCCTCTCACAATCCAGGGCCCCTCGGGGGATGTCGGAGAGCCGCTTTCAGCCCGATCCCCGCAGGCCAGGCCGAGGGACCCCACCAGTGCACGAATCCATGCACCGGGCCTCTAGTAAAATAAAATAAAAAGAGATACAGAGATATAGACCCTATAGGAGACCACTGACCTGTGGGGCGTTTGGGGTTGGGAAGGGGGAGCCTGACACTGGAGGAAAAGGGGCCACATGCTGACCTGACTAGCTCAGGGGAGGCCTGCATAGAGGCCTTGCAAACTCAGAGACCTAAAGTAACCACAGAGGATGGTCTGATATTAAAACTTTTAAACTAAAAGACGTTTATAGTGGGTAGTCATGTCCTAGGCTAGTATCTTCCTTAACAAAGATCAACTTCTATCTTTACTAAATCTATTGTCTTTTTGCATCTAAGATAACACACCTGCGGAATGTTACTTGTAACTTCCCTTTTTCCGTCCCTCAGGGCGACTGGGTGGCGATAACAAATTTCCTCCTTGTTATCGTGTTAATTGTTGTCTGTTAACTACCCTGTACCCACCTGTATAGAAGAAGCATGTCTATCATTTTACTTTTTATCCAATCCCAGGGGTTTCCCAGCTTTGCTTTCTCCCGCCCCCCTAACCTATCACCAATGGACTTCATGTAACTCACTCACGTAATGCATTGTAATGTATAAAAAATAGGTGGAAAACCGCCATTCTCAGGAGCATTATCTTAATTCTTTGAGATTCTGCTTCCTGGCAATTGACAGTTTGGCTCAAATAAACTCACAAAAGTTCTTCACAGGTTTGAATGTCTCTTATGTTGACAACTCCCAGGGCCTAGCAGCCCCTCCCAC